CCACCAACGCATGCACGCACGCCTCCCCATACACTGGCATAAACACACACACACACACACACACACACACACACACACACACACACACACACACACACACGCACGCACCCACGCCCCAATACACTGGCTGGCCTGGCGTGCTGAACAGTTTGCCCGTTAACAAATATCTACGCTAGAGAACGTACGACACATTTTTCTTGTCGTGTCTCTATGAGAGCAGATGTAAAGACTCGCTTACATTACGCGCGCGCTATGTAAACTAGAGAACCGAGTGTTGCTCTCAGTATAGCGAGTCTATAGATTCAAGTTTCAATCGGCCCGCAAAGAATCGGACGCCGACGAGAAAAAAAACCCGACAGCGAAGAATATATTCCGAGAACCGTACACGAAAGCTCATCCGCCGGAAGTGCATCGGAATCCCCGCCGTGTGAAACGGAAAGCTTCGTTTTTCCTCTTGCCGGTGGAGGGCGGTGCGCCGACGTACATACATTGCCCAGAGCCGTACAACATACGCAATTATATGTCTTCATGCGAAAACAGATGTTCAGCTGGTTTTCACTCGGGGCTTATTTGATGTGTATATGTACGAGTAAAAAGTGTTTGAATTGCCATCAATTGTAGCTCGCTATTCTGACGTACCACTTGAGGGGATAGGGAAAAACGTACTGTTTGACTAAACCCGACACCATGCGAAGCACGATAACGGTTATAGCGCGTAATTTAGAAAAGGATAGTCGTATAATTATAATGTCTAGTGTTATGTGAAGCTCATTAGTATGCTGTTCGCGTGAAACGACTGCTTGAATATGAGCCACGCGCATGCGCAGAGCCAGCGTTTGATCGATCAGCTATATATTCTATATTATATAATATATATATATATTATATATTATATATTATATAATATATATATATTATATATTATATAACTGCGTGATAAATAATATCGTTACGTGTTGTTAGGAGGAACTAACGCTACCCTAGCTCTTGTGGAAATAACCTTTTAGAATTATAATTCTATATTTTTTCAATTTCTAGATTTCTAGATGTCTAGAGTTTTGGCGTACGAATGGCATTTCCGTATCTTTTCTCTCTTTTTCTCTATATATATATAGTTATCTAGTTGATGGAATAGTTGAAAAACCCATTGCTATTAACGGTTTATAACTATTATAATATTTAACTTATTCATAGAAATGAACACGGATGCACATACTCATGTATATGCCCATGTAAATACCAATATAATCGCATGTAAAGCGCGTGTTGAATACAAACAACAACAATTCATCGGACATGGAGTAATGGAGATACCGCATGGCGAATAGCGCATCGTGTTGTGCATCAGCATCGAGCTTGAAGTGAGAAATGCACTATCTCACCGCTATTTACCCACTCAACACTAATCACTAACCATAGTAACCAACTCATGTAAATCACAAAACGACATATTAAATATACCGGGGCGATTAACTCCCGCCATTTGCTCTTCCCACTTCAAGGTCAAAAATATGCAATAAAGATTTTGTCAAATTAAAAAAAAATACACGAGAATTTTTTCGACCGACCGACCATCCACGCGTCGTTGAGAACGGTTAATGAACGCGTGGCCGACGGCTGTAGAATTACGAAGTAGAGCCGCCGCCGCCGCCGCCGCCGCCGCCGCCGCCGCCGCCGC